TCATCAACCAAACATTAAAAAATTAAATTATTTTTCAGAAAATGAATCATTTTCTGAAAATTATTTTCTAAAAGATCTTTTTTCAATTTTTTAAACGGAACCTAAAAATACAACACAATCATATAACATCAACTGTAACTTTATCCAAAATTTTCCTGCGATAAAAATTGGACAATCATTCAAAACTCGTTAGCCATTAGCTGGCTTGTATAGACGTCTAGGCTTGAGAACTCCAACTCACGTGTCTCTCTTGGCAAATCCAACATTATTTATCATGGGTTAGTTTTGTGTTGTGATCACGATTTCAAGCAAGTGAAGTTAGAAGTTAAAGTGACTCTTTTTTACGGTGATTAGGAAAATATGTTATTTAGTGTGGATGAGAGATGCTAATTGTCACTTTGTACATACAATATATATTAATGACCTTTTAAACCAAGATTGAACTTGTTCCATCAAGTACCATCAAGTACATGTAAGATCTTCCCTAAATAATATATATTATATGTTATATATTAGGACCCTTAATTAAGTGGTGTAAGTTGATTAGACTTATTAAGTAGTTTGGTTGGACTAAATAACTAGATTTTATTATTCAACCAGACTCTGTGCCTAATATAAACCTGGACTGATGGGATACAGGTTATTCATTAGCTCAGTAGACACCTATACACCATCTAGGGTTCTGAGTCAAGTAAAATATGGCTAACGGTCTACCGTTCAAGAGGCAACACAACAAGAACATCAACTATGACTGGAGATCAATATTGCTTCCACTCCCGCTTCTACGACGTTAGATTATTATTTATTTCTAACATTTGGTATCCGAGCATTTATAATTTCTACCTAGTTGATTGTATTGCTTTAAAAATACAATATTAATTCTCATATACATCAAATTTTTGTATATGCTTTGGTTTGGTTTTCCAATTACATTCCTATTTTTCTTTATTCAAGATATGCATGTAAGGATATATCTGTTAGCAGCCAGAAGACTAATCTCACGTTCCTACTGTCAGCACACTAAGTGGTAGGGGACTGGCCAAATGGTTTGGATCGAACTCCCAACCTCATGCTTAAAGAACGAGGTGATAAACCACCACGCCAACCATGTTGGTTATATCTATTTGGTTTTGATATAACTAAACATGTTTATTTGAATTAATTGTTTGTAACTGGTTTTGGATTGTGCACTGCTTGTGTTCGCTGTTAATTTGGGATTTTGGTTGTTGTCAACGTCGGCGGCCACCGAGATGGCTGGAGTGACGGTGGAAGTTAGATAAATAATTAAATATCTTCATTGTTCTCCCTTCGGATGAGCCATCACTATAGCGCCGATTCTTCTGGTGACGACAAAGGGCCAATGGCAACGAGCGAACGACGCAAGGATCGTCGGATGCCGTAAGTGAGATGGTCGACCGGCAGAGGCGTCGCGAACAGGGTGATCGGCGGCTGTCACTAGCGTAGCGGAGGCGAAGCTGGGTTCCCCGACGACGTCGCTGGGTTCCCCGGCGACGTCGCTGCTCCATACCTTCCTTCAGGCGGTGCCGACGACATCTAGCTGCTGCTGCTCCACATTCTAGTCGCCTCTACTGCTTTTGTTTCACAGCTTCACGTTCAGGGATGCTCGCGACGAGGAGAGATGGCGGGGGCGGGCTGGATTTCCGACGCCGTCGTTGTCCTCTTCCCTCCTTCAGGCGGTACTGATTCACTTGCTTCGGACGACAATGCTGTTCACCATGGCAGCTAGGGTTTCTGCCTTTGAAGAAAGAAGGGCAAATTATATCGTGCACCGCGGTGCATAATCGATTATGCACCGCGCATCAAAACGACGTCGTTTTGTTTAATGAAAAGAAACAGCATCTGTTTCCCTCCGTTCCGCATCCTTCCGCAAAAAGTAACTCTAATCTGTGATTCAGTTTCATTTTGTATACACTGCAGTTTCGGTTCAACATAACTACAGTTTCATTTCAATATAACTATAGTTTTATTCGATATTTATAGACTCAAATATGTGAAAATGTTATTTAATTTTATTTTATATACACTATAGTTTTATTAAACCCCAACTACATGATTATTTTGGTATAATTACAGGTTCATTGTAAAATATACACTCAAATATGTGAAATGTTATTCAGTTTCATTTTATATACACTGCAGTTTCATTTCACTACAACTACAGTATCATTTTGATATAACTGCAGTTTCATTTGATAATATAAAAATAATACGTGAAGCAGTGTCGGTTTAGATATACTATAGTGTCAGTTGGTAATTAACATATACAAAATGTGTGCTCTGTTAAAACTAACGGCGCGCCATTTATTTACTTAAAGAAACGACGCCGTTTTGACCTCGGTGCACATGCACTGCGGTCTACGATATAACGACTAAGAAAGAAGAAGATGGTGATGGATTAAAATATTTTGGGCCGGGTTTGGCCCATTAGACTACTATTTAAAAAAAAAAAAAAAAAAAAAAAAAAAGCTGAGCCTACTTTAGTTATTGGGATTGCTTTAGTATTTTTCACCATCATATTTAGATTTCTTCTAAATTAATTGATCAATTTAATTTCTCCTCAATTCATTATTAAATTATAATTCAATTTGGGGTAAATATTAAGTTTTAAATTTACTGTTTGAATTTTAATTTAATATTAAGGTGCATATTAAATTGTCTCAAGTATTGTAATTTATATATGAGTTAATAATATATTAATATGGAAATCCAAGCATGTTATGTATATTTATAATCATTTTATTGTTATAAATTATAATTATGCATTTAGAAAAGTATGTTTTAAGAATGGATATTATTAACTCGTAGTATATAAATTCATTATTAAATATCATTCAATTTTAGATTCTTAGGTCAATTTTAGGTATTATGACCTACTAAAGCAGCTTGTTTGGTTTTCCTTTAATTTGACATATTTTAATTTTATGTGTCTCTGAGACTTTAAAGCATATTTTTGAACAAGCTATTTGAGACCTATCTTGGGTCATTAGAAGTATGGTCCCACCATTTTGATTGATATTTAATAATAATAAGGGAAAATGGTCAAATACACCCCTAAACTTTATACAAGAAGTCAATTATGTCCATGAACTTTTAAAAGTTGCAATTAAACCTATCAACTTGTTATTTTTGTGGATTTAGACCCAACAACAAGTTAATAACATGTAATAGCAGGTAAGTTGCTGACATGAAATTTTTTAAATAACTAATAATAAAAATAAATTAATATAAATTTAGAAAAAAAAAAAAAAGAAGAAAAGAAAATATGACAGGATTGACAGCCAAGGCCGGCTACTATCTTCTTCTTTCTTCCTCCGGGGCTATTATTTTTTTTTTTTTTAAGAGAAGATGGCAGCCATGTCTGCCATCTTCTTCTTGCCTCCTTCATCTCCCGTGGAGACGAAGAAGGGGACTAATGATAATATTAATTTCTAGGCATTATTTAGAGTAATTTTAGTAAATGATTTGCATAAATAAATTAAGTTTTAGCCTTAATTTTATTATAAATATTATATTTAGTTATATGTTATTAGTTTAGACTAGTATAGATGGGTTTTAATAGATATTAGGCTAATGTTACATTTTTATTAATATAAAATAGGAGTTTTATTTTAGCTATAGTATTAGATTTATTTGGTAATTTTATATCTTGAATTTTAAATAAGTGTTTTAATTATTAAGTTTAGTTAAGTGGTGTCATTAGGTTATTATAATTATCTTTTACTTTAACTTTATTTTATTTTATTTTATCTTTCTTTGAGGTGTTTTGGCAGCAGTAGAAAAGCAAAAAGAAATGGATTATATTAAGTTGGGGGATGCTTTTGTTTAAGGCATTGAGAGACGACAGAACAGAAAAAGAGAGAGAAAATAGCGAACGAAAAAAAAAAAAGGAAGCCAGGGAGCGCAGCAGCAGTTCGGCTAAGGAATTCAAGACTCCGCAAGGAATTTTCGAGCTTCAATTGCAGCTACCATCTCTTAGGCTTGAATTATTTTTCTTCCTTAGTTTATTTGTTGTTTAAATTTTAAGAATGCTATTTATTGAACTTTTCATATATTCAACTATGATTCTTGGCTAGAACTTTAATTAGGGATTTGGATTAGCCTAGATTAGATTAATTGACTATTTTTCATGTGTTGATTCTTCTTATTTCAGTTTAATAATTGAACTTGATTATATTTATTTTATGTATTTTAATTGTGGATTGTGTGACTGGCCATTGTATAATTCTAATATTAGGGTTCATAAGAAGAACTGACAGGTGAATTATGAACCTAGAACTCATAAGATAAACACAATTGACCTAAACTAGACATAGCTTTAGGTATTTGTGGTGATATTTGATTGTTGCTTAATGGGTTTAATTAATGTTGGTGAGATATTGACGGATGATCACAGTTAATTGGATACAACCTAGTAGCTCGACGGAGTATTAGGATATATTTGAAGCAATCATCACTATAGTCATAAGAATCAATACCTAGGAGAGTTAGTTAATTATCTAATAGGTGAACCCAAATCCCTAATCTTCTCTTAATTGGAATTTTTCTTAACTTTAGATTCATAATTATTCTTTTTAATTACATTAATACTATTTATTTGCATTTTTCCTTATCATCAAAAATGATTATTCAAGATAACAGTTAATAGTGTTCTTCGTGGGATCGACTCTGGAATACTCCAGGAATTTATACTGTGATTGACTCTGTGCGCTTGCAGATTATAGCAATCAAGTTTTTGGCGCCGTTGCCGGGGACACTTTATTAAACTGTTTTCTTTAAGTTTTTCTTTTCAAATTTATTTTAGTTTTTAGGTTCGTTATTATTTTATTTTTATTTTTATTTAGTTTTTGTTTTTCTGTTTTTATTTTGTTCTGTTTATGAACTTAAGGCGATCACTGAGGCATAAAAACATTGAATTATTCCCTATTGATCTTGAAATTGAGCGTACTTGCAGAAAAAACAGGGTACGAAGGCGGCTTGAAATGGCTGAAAATAATAGAGTGGGTCAACTGGATGACCCCGTACCACCAATAGTTCCACCTCCTCAATATCAAGCAGCTCAACCACGTCTTCGTGACATCCAAAGACCGGTAATAGCTGTTAACCCTTCTTGCATTCAATTATCTGATGCAGCTAGAAATTATGAACTCAAGACTTTCCATCTTAATATTCTCCCGACCTTTAACGGTTTGGGAAGTGAAGATGCTTTGGGTTTCATGCGAGAGCTCTATAGTACGGTACAAACTTTACCTTTGAATAATTTATCTGAGGAAGAGCTTAGAATGAAATGTTTTCCATATTGCATGAGGGGTGATGCAAGGCAATGGTTGTTAAATTTACCAGAGGGTTCTTTAAGAACTTGGGATGATGTTTACAATGCTTTCATGTTTAAATATTATTCATCTCAAAAGACAATGGACTATAGGAGTAGGATATGCACTTTCACTCAAAGAGAGGGTGAATTATTTCATGAAGCATGGGATCGTTTTAAATTGCTTTTGACACAATGTCCACACCATCAATTCCCATTGTTATTGTTGACACAATTCTTTTATGATGGTTTAACTCCTAATTGTCAGTCTCTTGTAGATACTGCTGCAGGTGGATACACATGTGATAAAAATAGTGATGAATTAGAAGCTATCTATGAGAGCTTAGCTAGTAATTCTCGACAAAAGGCAGTGAGAGGTCGAAGAGCTGCTGTGCATGAAATTAGCACACAATCTGAGTTGACAACACAAGTGGCTGAATTGACTAAACAGATGAACTTGTTGATGACTCGTGATAGTTCGAATAGAGAATTTTGTTCTTATTGCAATACATATGGTCATAATTCTTCTGTTTGTATGAATGCAGAGTCATCACAACCATCTTATGAAGAAGTCAATTACATGGGATCCAACATGGGTAGGCAACAACCAAGAAATGATCCATTTTCTAATACATATAATCCAGGTTGGCGAAATCACCCTAACTTCTCATGGAGAGATCAAGGTAATGGTAATGCAAGACCAATGGGACCACCCGGATTCCAGCAACAGGGACCATCAGGATTCCAGCATCAGCAATACAGACCTTTCCAGCAGCCACCTGCACCACAACAGTCTCAACTTTTTGCTCAGGAGAAGAAGCCTCAATTGGAGGAGATGTTCATGCAATACATGGCTAGCCAGGACACTATGATGAAGAAAATGGATGCAAAAATTGATAAGGTTGCTCAGTCCAACCAAGCATCCATTCATAATTTAGAGGTGCAAGTAGGTCAGTTGGCTAAATTGGTTGCAGAAAAAGATCGAGGTAAGTTTCCTAGTACCACTGAAATAAACCCTAGGGAAGGAGCTATGGCTGTCACGTTGAGAAGTGGTAAGATATTGAATGAAATTATGAAAGAAAATGAACCCACGAGGGTTGAGAAAGAGAGTGATAAAGAAGAGGAGCAAGTGCCTAAAGAGAATTCTAGTAATCAAAACCTCACTTCTTCTACAGTGAAACCTTATGTACCCCCCATTCCATATCCACAAAGGTTACAAAAGAGGAACCAGGATAATAACTTCAAAAGATTCTTAGAGGTTTTTAAAAAATTACAAATTAATATTCCTTTTGCAGAAGCACTTGCCAATATGCCGTCTTATGCCAAGTACATTAAGGAAATTGTGTCTAATAAAAAGAAACTGGAAGAGTTTGCTACTGTGCACTTAAATGAGGAGTGTAGTGCTATTCTACAAAGCAAATTACCTCCTAAGCTAATGGATCCAGGAAGTTTTTCTATTCCTTGCACTATTGGTAATACTGTTGTTGATAAATGCTTATGTGATCTAGGTGCCAGTATTAACCTTATGCATTTAACTCTTTTCAATAAGTTGGAAATAGCTGAAATGAAGCCAACAACAATCTCTCTTCAACTTGCTGATAGATCAGTCAAGTACCCGCTTGGAGTAGTGGAGGATATATTGGTAAAAGTTGGTAAATTATATTTTCCTGCTGATTTTCTGATTCTTGATATGGGTAGTGACACAGATACATCTCTTATACTTGGTAGGCCATTTTTGTTGACAGGAGGAGTTTTAATTGATATGCCTTTAGGGAAATTGATTTTTAGAGTAGGTAAAGAAAAAGAGGAATTCTCTATCTCTAAAGTTGTAAAATTACCAACTTTTGATGAATCATGTCTTTTTGTTGATGTTATTGAGAAACCTTCAGAAGAAAAATTTTTTAAGCATTCACCTAGTGAAACACCACATCAACTTGAATTTAAACCACCTTCATTGCGGTTCAAATACGAATTTTTGAGTGACAATGATACTTTTCTTATGTTTTCTTATGCTCATTTACTTCATGCAAAAGAAGAGAGATTGTGGAGAACATTGACTAAAGCTTGGCATGACAAAATAATTTTTGGAGAGAATTCAATATAGGGCAAGAAGTTTTGTTGTCTAATTCTTGTCTTAAGTTTTTTCTAGAGAAATTGAAGTCTAGATGGTTTGGTCCTTTCATGGTCACTAAAGTTTGTTCGTATGAGGCCATAGAGATTGAAAGAGAGAAAAAGAGACCATTCATGGTTGCTTCACCAAAAGGCAGCCCCGGAAGAAACTGGCAACTAACAGGGAAGTTTCCTGTTTATTTCATTTTCTCATACTTGCTTTTATATTTAACATTGAGGACAATGTTGAGTTTGAGTGTGGGGAAGGGAAAGTAAGATTAGGGGATGTTTTCTGCAAGTTTTATGCAAAATAGGCAATATCAAAAAAAATTTCTGCATTTTTCCTGCAATTTTCTGCAACATTTTCTGCATTTTCTCTATTTTTCTGCATTTTGCTACAGTAAAATTCTGCATTCTTCTTTCTACATTTTCTGCACTATTTTTCTGCATTTTATGGGATTTTCAGCGTCATTTCTTTCATTTTTATGCAATTTTTCAGTAAAATAAAGTTTAAACAAAATGCCTTCTAATGACTATGTTGATTGGGAGATAAGTTCTAGAGTTTTGGGAGTGCATAATATCAATGGATGTGTTTGGCTATATGTATGCTTGCATAGAGTTAGTAGTCAAATTTTGTCACACCGTGAGCTTTTGAGCCTAGAGGTTGCCCACTGCAACTTATTTTCATTTTTGAGTGTTTATTTGCCCTCTTTGATTGTGCTACTTCTAGAACTTGCTTCATACCATTTCAGAGCTACATGTTATATGATGACACGAGAATGATTAAGGCATTAGGATTTAGCCTTATGACCTTAAAAATGACCACATCCTTATACATGTTATCTTTCTCCTAGTGAACCATTTTGAGCTTTATAATAAATATAAGACATTTTTCTTTGTTAAGGAATATATATTTGATATATAGAATCTCTATATATTAGGCAGTTTAGGGTTTTAGGTAGGTAGGACATATGGAAACTTGTTTCCTATTCGTAGTTTTCTAGTACCTATTTATAGGGCTTTGTATTTTCTATTCCTATGAGAGTTTGATATAATATATGACAGCACCTTAGAAACTCTCTCTCTCGTCACTTTCGTAACATGGTATCTGAGCCTTTACGATAAATTTTTTTTTTCCGCTCCGTTGTCGTCACGTTTTGACTAGCGCGTGAGCCTCACGTGCCGCCGGCGCATGAGGCTCCTCCAACGATTGAAAAACGTTTTGGTCAACTTGTTCCTGGGCCGCCTAAGTCTGTTTTTCTTGGTAGGACTTAGTTTGGACCATTGACTTTTGTTCTACGGTCAGTTTGTCTCGTTTTGATGCCGTATCGTTTTGTGTTTTGTTGCTGTCTTGTTTTGGTGGTGTCTCGGTTTGGTGTTATCTCTCATTTTTTTTATGCTCGTTGATTGGAGCATGCTTCCCTTTTGTTAGTCAAGATACTTCCCTTTTGCTAGTAAAGAATTTGTGTCCTCCAGTTTGGAGTTTGCCTTCTTTACTTTGTATGTCCAAGCTTGTTCGGTCCACTTTTGGTTCACCCGGAGTTGCGGTATTGGTGGAGTCCAAGCTTCTGGTTCAGGGGAAGGTTCAATCCCAAGCTTGTTCGGTCCACCACGTTGAGTTCACCCAACTGTCCGTAGGTATTGGTGGCGTTTACAGCTTTCGTTTCAAGGGGAGTATCCAATTTCAAGCTTGTTCGGTCACTTTGTGTTCACCCATTGTTCGTGGGATTCGTGGCGTTCGAAGCTTTCGTTGGAGGGGGAGTATGAGTATCCAATCTCAAGCTTGTTCGATCAAAGGAGTGTCCTAAATGGACTTGAGTTATTAGTTATTTAGTTATTTTGGGTTATCACTCATTTGTGTAACAAGTTGGGCATTATTAAAATATATGCTCCAACTTGAGGGGGAGTGTTAAGGAATATATATTTGATATATAGAATCTCTATATATTAGGCAGTTTAGGGTTTTAGGTAGGTAGGACATATGGAAACTTGTTTCCTATTCGTAGTTTTCTAGTACCTATTTATAGGGCTTTGTATTTTCTATTCCTATGAGAGTTTGATATAATATATGACAGCACCTTAGAAACTCTCTCTCTTCACTTTCGTAACATTCTTCATTAGCCAGTTCCAAAGAACCTTAACTCATAAAAGAAGCCTCTTATTAACCCGTCCTTGGGTCAGTGGTTGTCACTATTTCATTTATCTGTGCAAGATGACCAAAAGTGATGAAGTATGGGTGAGATTGGAGTTGAAAGGTGATCGTAGAGCGAGTTTGCTTGGGGTGAGGAACTGTTTGTGATCAAAAGGATGTGAAAATGAAAAAAAGAACAAAATGATATGTCCTAAATTGTAGGTTGAAAATCTTGATAGTCCAAATTTTTGTGCTCATTTTATTCTTAAAATGATTTTGTGAGCAATGAAGGCATGATAGAAATTTGGTGATTATGAGAAGAGTACCATTGAGGGTTGTGTGAAAATGAGGAGCAATCTATTCGGTTTTACTAGAATAATAGGAAAAAAAAAAGAAAAAAAAAGAGGAAAAAAAAAAGACAAAATAGAAAAAAAGATGAAAAAGAGATGGAGGTTTTGAAAGTTGTTTATCAGTGAAAAGGATGAGGAAGAATGAAGAAATGGTTGCTTGTTTTGGTAGAGTTCATTGTATTGGTATAATACAAGTTCTTGCTCTTGATATGGTGAAATTATGACTCTACTGATTCCTTGGATTGTATTTGTTATTCCTTATACCCTTTCTTTCTTAAACCACATACCCTTAGCCCCGTTACAACCCAGTAATAAAGACCTTTTGACTCGTGTTGTTCATATAATTTTGGTAGTGGAGTTTTGGTGGGCAAGCAAGTCTATGGCAAGTGCACTCTCAATAGAGGATGGTGTGTACCTTTCTTATACATATTTATATGAGAGATTGAGTGAACAATTGTGAGGACTACTATTCTCTATTGTCTTGTGTGCATATGACTTTGAACTCTCATGAAGTATTATGTGTTCACCAATTCCCTTGAATTGAACGCCTAGTTCACATGGTTATGATTGGTAGTTTTATTTCTTTGCCTAAATTTGCTTGGGGACAAGCAAAACCTTGAGTGTGGGGAAGTTTGATAAGCTTAATTTCTAGGCATTATTTAGAGTAATTTTAGTAAATGATTTGCATAAATAAATTAAGTTTTAGCCTTAATTTTATTATAAATATAATACTTAGTTATATGTTATTAGTTTAGACTAGTTTAGATGGGTTTTAATAGATATTAGGCTAATGTTGCATTTTTATTAATATAAATAGGAGTTTTATTTTAGCTATAGTATTATATTTATTTGGTAATTTTATATCTTGAATTTTAAATAAGTGTTTTAATTATTAAGTTTAGTTAAGTGGTGTCATTAGGTTATTATAATTATCTTTTACTTTAACTTTATTTTATTTTATTTTATCTTTCTTTGAGGTGTTTGGGCAGCAGTAGAAAAGCAAAAAGAAATGGATTATATTAAGTTGGGGGATGCTTTTGTTTAAGGCATTGAGAGACGGCAGAACAGAAAAAGAGAGAGAAAATAGCGAACGAAAAAAAAAAAAAGGAAGCCAGGGAGCGCAGCAGCAGTTCGGCTAAGGAATTCAAGACTCCGCAAGGAATTTTCGAGCTTCAATTGCAGCTACCATCTCTTAGGCTTGAATTATTTTTCTTCCTTACTTTATTTGTTGTTTAAATTTTAAGAATGCTATTTATTGAACTTTTCATATATTCAACTATGATTCTTGGCTAGAACTTTAATTAGGGATTTGGATTAACCTAGATTAGATTAATTGACTATTTTTCATGTGTTGATTCTTCTTATTTCAGTTTAATAATTGAACTTGATTATATTTATTTTATGTATTTTAATTGTGGATTGTGTGACTGGCTATTGCATAATTCTAATATTAGGGTTCATAAGAAGAACTGACAGGTGAATTATGAACCTAGAACTCGTAAGATAAACACAATTGACCTAAACTAGACATAGCTTTAGGTATTTGTGGTGATATTTGATTGTTGCTTAATGGGTTTAATTAATGTTGGTGAGATATCGACGGATGATCACAGTTAATTGGATACAACCTAGTAGCTCGACGGAGTATTATGATATATTTGAAGCAATCATCACTATAGTCATAAGAATCAATACCTAGGAGAGTTAGTTAATTATCTAATAGGTGAACCCAAATCCCTAGTCTTCTCTTAATTGGAATTTTTCTTAACTTTAGATTCATAATTATTCTTTTTAATTACATTAATACTATTTATTTGCATTTTTCCTTATCATCAAAATTGATTATTCAAGATAACAGTTAATAGTGTTCTTCGTGGGATCGACCCTGAAATACTCCAGGAATTTATACTGTGATTGACTCTGTGCGCTTGCAGATTATAGCAATCAGCTAATTAAAAAAAAAAGTGTCTGCAGTCGTGGAGCATATATGCTTCGTCGGTGGCTGGGTGACTAGACCACCACCGAGCGCACGGCACCTTCAGTGGTGCTTTCTCTCAGTTGGGAGAGATACTCTGGCTGGATCGAAGATTATGAATTATCGCGAGACTGGGAGATCTAGAGGTTTCAGTCTCCCTAAGTATAATAATAGTCATGGTTTGTAACACCGCCGATTTTTACCAACATTTTAAAACTTAGAATTCAAGGATCAGTAAACTAAACATCAATCTGCATAAAGCAGAAGCTATTAAAACCGGGAAAGGTGTTATGCCACACCCATAAAACTATGGGTACACAAGCTAAATCTATCACAATCATCAAACATAACATAAGTCTAGGCACACAGGCCACTAGTCCACACAGGCCAACAAAAGCAAAACATCTAAGCACAGGAGCTACACTATCTAGAGTCCTCATCTAGCGCGCACTCCGGATTAAGCAAAACCTGTAAAACATGGGGATAACACCCGGTCAGCAAATAATGCTGGTAACCCATCAATACGCGTTAAATAACAT